GTAGCCCTTGAGGAGGAACTGAAGGTCCTTGGCTTTGCTTTGTGACTAAACTGGTATTACTTAGTCTGTTGGACTGTTTTCCTGTTTCTGCATTTTCTCACTTCTCTGATTAAACTTATTCTTTGGCTGCAGTTTTTCCACAGACAAAAGGCAGGCGGAGGACCCGGGGGGCGAGGACACGGGGGGCGAGGACCCTAGGGTGCTCCTCCATTTCATGCCTACTCTAGCGTTTCGAGGTCCGTTTGGGTACTTATTCGTGATATATTTGCTGTCCTTCTCAACGTTTTCTGAGTGGTTTTAGCCCATCCAGGTGGCTTGCACTAATCCAAGGTCATTATCTGACTCCTCTTCTCTAGAGAGCAGTTGTGGGGAAATCATAGTATTGTTCATTGGAGACATTCTTAGGAAGCACCGGCCTGATTCTTCGGGAGGACCCAGTGGTGCCCTGCGGGAAAGTAAGGGTCCTGTTTTGCTTTTCCTCCTTCACATTTCTCTGCGGAAGAGCTGGCCACATGGCCATCGCCCTCCTGTACACACAGGTCACCCTTCTAGGGTCTCAGGGTGGGAGAGAGGGCTGCCAAAAATGACTCCTCAGGAATCCGGGTTTAGAATCTGGACTAGTTTTCTTAGGGGCTCTTGTAACAAATTATCACAAACGTAGTGGCTTAAAACAACAGAAACTTATTCTCTCATGGTTCTGGAGGGCACAGGTCAAAATCAAGGTACTGGCAAGGTTAGTCCTTCCTGGAAGCTCTGACGGAGAATCCATTCCATGGGTCCCCAGCTTCCTATGGCTTCTGCAATCCTGGCATCCCTTGGCTTGTAGGTAACACAAGCTGTCTTCACATGCCTTCACCCCATGTGTCCCTGTCCAAGCCTCTTCTTATAGGGACACCAGTGCTTGGATTTAGGACCCACCGTAAATCCAGGATGATCTCATCTGGAGGTCTTCAACATAATTAGGTCTGCAGAGACCCTATTTCCAAGTAAGATCCCATTTGCAGGTACTGGAGGTTAGGACTTGGGCATATCTTTTGGGAAATCTATAGAATCCAAATGGGAGAGGGGGAGGGGAGAGGTCCCTGCTCAAATAGGGCATGAAGGACTTGTTACAGACATGCATCCCAGCATGTGTGTGGGCTCTAGGAAGCCCACCACCCACCCTATGGGCAGATCCAGGGTCCCTGGGGGACTGAGGGGCAGGAGAAATCTCCCCTCACCCTCCCGAGGAGGTGGGCCTGGCCATGAACCTGATTCACAGAAGGTGGGGTCCTGAGTTCATTTCACTGTACCCCAAACAGATGACGATCAAAGTATTCTCACCCCGGTGGGCCTGGGCTGGCCTGGTTGGACCATTGAACACGTCCCAGTTTGTCCCCCAGGATTACTTCTTGATCTCTAAAGAATTGGATGGAAAGAGCCTTCATGAAGTTAATATTCTTCATGAAGTTACTATGTGTTTAAAATTCAGCCAGGTTTAGAGGCTCTTGTTTTATTTATGAGCCACACGCCTACAAGAAATGTTATTACCACAAAATAAACTCAGCATGGAAAGCTTGAGCCGAGGGTTGGGTTTTTAAGTGGCAGTTTACGTGATAGAATTCCAATTCTGCCAACAAATTTGGATAGCTGTGTGGGAGTCCTTGGTAAGAACTCTGGACTTGGACTTCCAATTAGGTACAGATTTTGATGACAGTTTCAGAGGCGTCTTTCTTGGGCAAAGTCGTAATATCGACAGCACTCATAGGAAATGTGTGAGCCAGAAGAAACCTCCATCAGACCCATTGCCACAAGGTGCCCAGTTGCGTACAGCTCAACTGCACTTTGAGGTCCATGCAAATCTGGTTTTGGCGTTTATCCATCAGCTTTTAGATTATACTATGACCGACGCTGCAGTGACAGGTGCCATGTTTGTCTTGATGGAGGTCCTGTTTTTGAAGGGGGAAAACAGCACAGCCAACGTGGGGGGACACTTGTAATGGGGGGACAGATGTAGTGTCATCTGGGTCCTGTATTTGGGTGAACATGGATCTGGGGGAGGATCTACTTACCTGAGCATCTCTAACGATTAGTCTTGAAGCAGGTCATTTTGGAGGTTTGGCTGACCAGGCTGAGATGTACGAACACTTTCCAGTGTGTGTTCGGATTCTAGGCAATCTGTGAGCAGATCCCAAACATCTCAAGACTTCTCAGAGGTGTCCTCTGTGGACACTGGCAGTGGATGATTTCTAAAGGGCCGTGTAGAAGGCACTGTGCCAAACGCCAGAGGGGAAGACAGTCTGGTCCCTGAGAAGCGCTGCTCTTGTTAGGAAATCTTTGGAAACGCCTACAGCTGTAGCGAGAAGTGAGGGGTGCTGGAGCAGGAGTGTTTGCAGCTGACCTGTGCTCCAAAGGCGCTGCCGTCTCTGCAGGGATGAGGTTGGCTGAGTGCCACGACGGAAGCCCTGGGTGCAGTCAGCGGTGCACATCTACAATCCCCAGACCTGTGGGTACCTACTACGATTTGCTGAATTTCCTTCACTGGAAAGAGGGAAGCTAGGTTGGAGAAGTTGGCAGAATAGAAAGTATGGAGCTGAGAAAGAGAGAAACGTGACACCACAGAGCAGGGAGCCAGTCTGAATCAGCCTGGTTTCTGGGCAGCTGGGGGTTGAGTGTGAGTACAGGGTGTTGGGCAGAGCAGTGGTGGGCCCTAGAGGGTGTGCATTGAAAAAGGCATAAGACAGAAACAAAGGGGTGATTTTTGAAAAGCGAAAAAAGGTAAAGACTTACCCTCTCAGCCCGCAGAAACAGAGGAGAAAAAGGCATAGGAAACTCACAACAGAACTCAGAAGTTCTGTTAATGTAAAAAATTACTGGGGGGCTTCCCTGGTGGCGCAGTGGTTGAGAGTCCGCCTGCCGATGCAGGGGACGCGGGTTCGTGCCCCGGTCCGGGAAGATCCCACATGCCGCGGAGCGGCTGGGCCCGTGAGCCATGGCCGCTGATCCTGCGCGTCCAGAGCCTGTGGCAGGTGGTACTCTGCATGTGTCTGTATTCATGCATAAGCTTTTTTTTCAAAATTATATCTATTAAACTAGGGTTGATTTTCTTATTCATACCAAAGGCTGTATTCTTTTTTAATTACTGATTTGAATTGCATTAGAACTCTTTTTACCTACAAGTTTTTAACATCTAATTCACAGTGACTCAGGCGTTGGGAAAAAAAAAAAAAAAAAAGACTAGGGAGTTCCCTGGTGGTCTAGTGGTTAGGATTCGGTGCTTTCACTGCTGTGGCCCGGGTTCAATCTCTGGTCAGGGAACTGACATCCCGCAATCCACGTGGCGTGCCCCCCCAAAAAAAATAAAAGAAAGAAAGAAAAAACTACTGGGTGACAATGGAATAAGGTTTATACTGGGCTGCTGTGTATGTACTATCTTACCTACTTTTACGGATGTTCAAAATTCCCCCAAATTAAATAATTAGGGGAGTGCCGTAATAATAGATACATTAACTGATCCCATCCAATATGACCTGATACATCTATGTTTTTAAAAAATACAAAATATGCAGATATATATTTGAGTGTGCACTGAAAATTTCTGGAAGGATATATAAGGAACTGATAATGAGGGTCATCCCTGGGATTTATATGGATTATCTTGTTTATACGTCACGAGGAAAGCACAATTAGTATTCCTGGTTTACAGACGAATTTAATGCTAGACACCGCCTCCCCCCTATGACTTAGAGTACGGGAGAGAGAGCGGGCTGGGGCATCAAAAGTTGAGACCACAGGGGAAATTGGGGCCAAAAACGTTAAAACAAAGCTATGCTCATTACAGTGTTGTAACTTGTTTTGTTTTACTTTTTGTTTATTTGATATAAGAAAAGAATTATCCCATGGTAAAAGAAAGTGTCTATCTGTAATGTTGAAAGTCCAGTAAAGTATATTTTCAGAAGATTTGTGGAAAAGAAAGAAAGAAAGAAAGTTATTCTGACTCGTGTTAAAGAATGGTAAAAGGCAGAGTTTATTCAGGGCTGTAGCAATAGGTGTAGGGACCACTGTGGTCGGGCCTTGCAGTAGGGGAATGAGATTGTGGCCAACTCCAAATACAAGGAAGACTGGGAATTCATAGCCAAGGAGGATGTGAGTCGGTGGATGGGAAGTTACTAAGAAGAAACAGCAGGGGTAAGGGGGGGGTTTTGGCTAAACGGACATAGCAGGATTCTTGTTGAAATTGGGCGATACAGAGACCCACAAGGAAGTCTAAACCTCAAGGCCAAGTTGGGAAGAGGGTTCAGAGGAACCTGAGAACAGTTTGGTCAAAGAGAGACGCTGTCTGCTCCTGAGTGAAAACACTGTTACATACGTGCAGTGGGGTTTGTGTGAAGAGATCCCGTGTGTGTGGACACACACGTAGGCCTACAGGCCTCTGCGTGCGTACATGGGGGTATTTTTACACTGTGTTAAAAAATAGGTCCCTATCAACCTAGAAAGATATGTTTCATAATTTTTGTTTTAACGTTCAGAGTCTGTGGTAAGGGCTGGGAATTTCACACGGAATTGTAATACGGGGAGAGCGACAGCTGTTCCGTTATTACTGCCGCCGGCAGAGGAGAGAGGAACCGGAGGGGACGTAAAATTTTCACAGCCTCTGTCTGCTGTTGTACGATCTTTGTAATCTGGTGTTTCGAAGTTCACTGTTACTGTGAGAACAGCCGCGGCCTGAGGTGCCTAGAAAGAACCAGAAAAAAAAAAAAAAAAAAAAAAGAAAAAAAAAAAAAAAAAGAAACCACAGAAACTACGGGTGGCTTGTCTGGGGCCAGGAGAGCGGGTGGCCCTGGGAAGGGTGAGGGTGTCCAGGGTGGTAGGACGTGGCTTTCTGCCGGGGGGTGGCGGGGGGGCGAGGAATGGTTGTGTTTTAATGAGGTCATATAATTGCTTGTAGATTTCCATTGTCACTCAAATGTCGAGATTTCACATTCCTGGTGGTAAAAGATACCCATTTGTTTTATTCACAGGTTGTACTCAGACTATCTCTACTTTGCAAGTTCGAATAAATCTGCAGATGACTTCCATGAGAAAGTGACAGAAGCGCTGCAGCTGTTTGAAACTTGCGTGCTGGGTTATTCACTGCGCGCCTGTGTCTACAACAACACTCTTAACAACGCCATGCCTGTGCGTACGCAGAGGGGCTGCTCGGCGGTTATTATGCGAGGGCATTGTGCATCGGGATTTTAGCGGATAAACAGAGGAGCATTTTAATGTGCAAATGCCTCTCCCCGTGCCTTTGAGCGGTGGCTAATGCAAAACAAATATTCATGGATGTAAAAACTGTAAAAGCTGATGGACCCTTTCAGCTGGCCCCCTGCTTTCTCCCGCGCTGACCTCCCAGTTACAATGCTCTCTCCTCCCTCTGCGAAAGAATGAGGGCGCATTTAGGAAGATTACTATTTAGTGAGGCTCCGAAAGCACACCCCGCAATTAGGATTGGCAGACCAACTCTCTGATTGTCTTAAGAGCGTTCTCTCCAATGCTGGATTGTTTTGTTGGTTTAAAAAATTACCCACCAGTGACTTTCAGTGCTTCTCCGACAGGGTCTTAATGGAAACATATTTTCCATTGATCCCTTTTTCCTTTGTTCTTGTTTGCTTTCACGAATGTAGCTGTACGCTTCTTGCCCGTTTTTTTTTTTTTTTTTTTTTTTTTTTAAAAAAAAAAAGTTTTCCCTTTTTTCCCTTTTTTTTTTTTTTTTTTTTTTTTTTTTAAAGCAAAAGAAGCTGTTAATGGTGAATTCAGCACGGTTTAGCTAAGGGATGGTTTTCTGCTGCACCGCACCCGGGGTTGTCCTAAGTGCCGTTTCAGCAGGTTTGCCGCAGTGGGTAAGCCTTCCTCAGCGAAGCTAATATGTCACCTGCCCCGGAGCGTGGTTCACAGCCTTGCTCTGCTGAGCGTGCCATGTGGTGAGATCTGCTTGAGGTGGAGGCTTGGGAACCCCCAGGTGCGGTGGGGTTCCAAGTCAAGAGGGTTCACCCCCTCTTCCTCTTCCATTATCTAGGCCATCTTATCTGGCAGGATGCACAGAGGCCGTAGGTAGGATTCCGGGCTGTCCCGCTGGAATTTATAGTTTGGCAGGGAGGATGCACACGAAGGATCCACACAGAATCTGGCTGGGGGTGTGGGGTAGAAGGAGTGGCCTTTGGAGCCAGAGAGTGGTGTGGGTTCAGTTCCCACTCGGGCAACTGACTCTGGGCAGTTGTCTTAGCTTCTCCGAGACTCAGTTGCTTCATCATAAAATGGGGTGATAACACTGCTTTACTAGGCTGTGGTAAGGGTTAGAGAGTGGTAGTTCATTCGCGTGTAGGGGGCGAGAAGATAATCCTTTTCCTCTACCCATCTCAGGTTCGTTGACCCGGGCCCTGTAAATTAGACTGACGGAAGATAAACAAGAGAAAAGCAAACAGAAGTTTATTAACACGTGCGTATGCACACGTGAACATATACACGGGAGCCCCAGTGATGAGTAGTAACTCGGATGGGTGGTTAGATCTCGGGCTTATATAGCGTCTTTGCAAGAGAACCATAAATATGTAGGGAAGTGACAAGACAAAGGAAAAAGACTTTGACTTTCTAGGGTGGCAGACTGTGGGAAGGCAGATGTATGTGGGAGCCAGTGGTCAATAAAAGCTAGTTTTAGCAAGGTCTGTCATGTGGACTTCTCTGGTGCTGGTGTCTCCAGGCTGATCAAGATCTAGAGTTGTCCCCAGTGATTAACTTCTGTCCTTCCTGCTAGAGAGAGGGTGAGGGGCACCTCGCAGGGCATCATCTTGTTCAGTCCTCTCCGTCTCCCTGAAATCCCAGCCCATTTTACAGATGAGGACACAGAGGCTCACAGAGGTTAACTCTCCCACCCAGAGTCACGTAGCTTGTGATGGGCAGGCTCAGGGTTTAATCCCAGGTCCCATGGCCTTTGATGAGGCTCATGGCATTTCCACCTTCCCTAGCTGGCTCCTAAAAAGGAGGGTTTGAACCGGCGGGAGACATGTGCTTTTTAATTCAATTCCATGAGTTGCTGAGGATGACGAGGCGTCTCTGGTCAGAATGAGACCCCAGGGCAGGATCAGTGACAGGATGGTGGGGCCGTGAGGTAATGCAGATCGCCGTGACCCTTCGGTCCCTGGAGAGCTCCTGCACAGTGGGAAGAGCCAGGAAGGCAAGAGCGGTCTGAAACCCTCCTCTTCGGGGTGAATCTTCATTTCTGGGATGAGAGAAGCGAATTTCCCTCCAGCTGTGAATCCCAGTCAACCACAGTGCAGGGAGGCCCATCTTTTTCATACGTACGTGGAGCGGGGCGCTACCCCGCTTAAGACCTTCCCTGCCTTCCTGTGGCCCCTGAGCGCACGAGCCCGCCCCGCCCACCTGTCCACCTCCTCCAGGCCACCTCCCCTGCCTCCCTGTCCACTGCTGCTCTCCGGCCACGCTCTCTCCTGCTAGGTCCTCGTGCCTCAGAGCAGGGCTTTGCAAGGTGTGCTCCCTGGACCAAGAAAATCAGCCTCCCCGGGAACTTGTCAGAAATGCAAACTCTCAGGTCGAGCCTCAGACCCCAGAATCAGGAACTTTGGGGGTGGGTCCATCAGTCCAGTCTGTTTAACAGCCCTCCAGGTGGGTGTGTTTTGTGCTTGGCCTGGAGAAGCCTGGTTCCAGAGTCTTCCACACTCCCCTCCGCGGCACGCGCTTCTCCTGGTTTTCGCAGGACTCCTCACCCTTCAAGTATGGCTTTAATCTGACCTTCTGTTCTCTCTCTCTCCACACTATTCGTTTCCCCACAGCATGTGTCACAACTGGCGATTATAGATAATTGTTTCTTCACCATTTTAGCTCTGTCTCCACTAGATTACAAGCGCCACGTGGCCAGAGGCCACGTCTGTTACATAGCAACGTCTCTCCATTGCTTAGCAGGGTACCTGGCATGCAGGATGCACTAGATTATTTGAAGAATGAATGAATGGGGAGTTTGTGAAACTAGTGGAGAGGCTGAGTAGAGAGTTCCAACCAAATCCCTAATGGGGACCAGAGAGGTTTGGCATGTGCCTGTCAGGGGAGACCCTGCACTGGCTCCTCAGCTGTTTCCCAGCACGGGGCGGGGACAGGCCCCAAGCGCAAGTACCTGGCTTCAGGACCAGGCTCTGGAGGGTCTTCTCGGCTGACCCTGGGCAAGCAGGACTCCGCACTCCCTGGGCCTTGGTTGGTTTTTCCATCAAGAGCCGGCTGAAGCAGGTAACCTCAAAGGCTCCTCTCCGCTCTGGTGTTTTAAAATTTTAAATGCATCGGGCACTTCCCCTAAACAACCTTTTTATGTTCATTCCATTGTGATTCTCTGGCCGATACTGGGGAAGGGTGCGGAAAAAGTGTTGAGTGGGCCTGTCTTAGGTTTGTTAGTAGTTATGCTGCGCACACTGTAAACTGTCACTCGAGGTGAGCGGCGCCTCCCTTAACTGGTAAGGGGGCTGGGGGTTAGAGTGAGCCAGAGGATGGAGTGTTCAGGGGGCCAGGGGAGGCTTCCCCACCTCTCTTCCCCTGAAGAGCCCCCAGGTTTGTTCCCTGCCTGCCCCCAACGGCCCCTCCGCTGCCGGACTAGCCCTCGTGGGAAAGAAGCCTCAGCTACTGGAGGCCTGGGCCAGTGGAGGGGGCTCCCCACGAAGACACAGACACGCTCTCAGGGAAATACTGTCACCCGTGGACAGGTGCAGGGACCTCTGCAGCTACTTTAAAACACCCTCATCCTGCCGCAAATTCCCAGCTCCTTTCCTTCTAGAAGGTTCTGAGTAGCAAAGGTGGGTTCCCCGGAAGATATAAAGCTCATCAGGTTGGTCCTCCCTGGGAGGGGCCGGCCTGGGAGCCTGACAAAGAACCGAAGAGCTCTCGATGACTTAACAGGGAGACGTTCTCATAGCGGTTTGTCTGTGTTGGAGGCGACTCGTGTATTTATTTCCGAGGCTGGCACGTGCTCATTTTCTCTTTAGCTCTGGCCCAGCTTGACGTCTTTTCCTGAGCTGGTGTCTAAGGTAGTGACAACTTGAGGGCTGTAGGCAGCTAATGAATTTTGGAGACAGCTTCTCCCCTCTAATTGTTTTTCTTCCTCCACCACCTCCCACACAATTAGAAAAACAATGAAATGGAGTGAGACTAGCCAGAGATGAAACTAGTGTCTGTACCTATTTTGTCAAGCGTTTCACCGTCTTACCGTTGCCACCGCGTTCAGTGTGAGTGGCTGGGCGCAGGCCACTTGCGGCTGGGATGATGGAAGAGCCTGGTCCCCGCCCTGGAGGAGCTCAAGGTCGAGCTGGGAAGCAGAGGAGGTAGGACGTGAAAGTGTCGGCTGCAGGAACTGAGACTGGGCCCTGGGAGGGGGTGGGCCGGGAGTCCAGTCAGACCAGGGACTTGCCCCACGCAGAGAGCCAGGCGAGGCCAGGCACTGGCGTGGGAAGCTCACGCTCAGAGACTAGAGGTGGGAGCGCCAGTCAGGGGGCTGTGACAGTGCCAGGCAGGCGCTGATGCGGCCTGAACAGAGACGAGAAGGGGGCAAATGAGAAGCAATTGGGAAGACCACAGCGAGGCAGAGCCAGAGGCAGGACACGGAGCCGGGTCCCAGAGGACGTGGTGGGTAGGGGCAGGGGTGGGAGTGCCGGAGAAGGGGGGCCTCAGAGCAGAAGGGGAAGGGCCTGCTCCTTTTTGGAGCCTTGCCAAGAGTTTAGAGCCCACTTTGAAGTTAGAGGGGGCAGTCCCCAAGACCGCTGTTCCTTCTGACACCATGTGCAAGCTGGGTGCAGTCCCCCAAACCACTGTCGGGTTCAGTAACTCACTAGAAGGAATCACAAGACACGCTGGTGGCTGTTACACTCGAGGTTGCGGTTTACAGCAGGGAAGGGACACAGACTAAACTCAGCCAAGGGAGGAAGCCATCCAGGGAAGGCCACCCAAGCCTCTGGTGTCCCAGCCTTCTTGAGGCTCCCTCACGTACTGCCTGCCTGACCGACCTTTACTGTCCAGTCCCTCCTGGAGGTCAGGCCGGTACTGCGTGGCCCAAAGCCCCCATCATAACTTAGACTGTCCAGTGGCCAGAGCCCCCCAGGCAAGCAAGATACCCTTACCAGGCAGGACATTCCAGGTGGCCTAGAGATCACCTTCCAGGAGCCGAGGACAAGGGCCAGACGTCTCTGTGGTCAGGTTCTTGCTTCACCACACATGCTTGCAGCTTGGCATGAGACAAGGCGCAGGAGGAGGACGGACCCCGACGCGTAGGCAGAAAGGGATGGCTTCGTGCAACTCTGCTAATATTGGGGTGTGCTCACACACTCAAGGTCATGGACGTCCGTGTGGCGGCAGGCATCTGGCTGTTCCCTCTCGGGGCTTGTTGCTGGAGCATTTGCCGCTGTTTCTCACGTCTGTGCTGCTCTGGGCATAGGAGCTGAGGCAGCCGGGATATGTGCAAAGAACATTCGCGCCATCGGTGGGTGTGACCTTGGCCTCTCCCTTCTCCCCACTCCTCACTATGAAGTGGTGTGGAGCTACCTGCAGGGTTGACCTGAGGATGGCATGGGACCCTGAGGGTGGGAATCCTTTGTGCGGGGGGCACCAAACCCAGCATGGAGAAGCAAGAACACATGGCATTTAAAATCCAACTTCTGGGGCTTCCCTGGTGGCGCAGTGGTTGAGAGTCCGCCTGCCGATGCAGGGGACACGGGTTCGTGCCCCGGTCCGGGAAGATC